CACAACCTGAGAAAGAAACATCACAATATCAATTTGTAGACTTTTCAATAGGAGAAAGAAACAGCACAAGCAATATCACTTTGGTAAATAAAGTATGCTCGAGAGTAAAAAATCTCGTAAAGGTTAGAAAATGAGAAGTCAAAGGTTAATGACGTAAAAGACGAGTAGAATTTATCGAGATAAGGAAATAAAAGGTGAGAAAATGAGACTGAAGAACCATAAATTGAAAGAGAGAATGGAGAATAGAAGGAGGGGTTGTGATTATTGACACAAAGACTCTTGAATTTGAAGAAGATAAAAGTCAGAACTTAGAAGAAGGTTGAATTGCAAAATGGTGTCACAAGACTAAAGTATTGTTTGGATTGGAGGTATCGGACGGAGAGGGAGGGGAAGGGATGGGGACGGATGGTAAGGGAGGGGGAGTGAGGGGGAGCTGTCTTCTTCCTCTTGTTTGGGTTTCCAAAGAGACAGAGGAGGAGGGAGATGGATTGATTCGGACTCCCTTCAACCCCCCTCAAATCCGTAAATTTGCAATCCGTCCGATTTGGGGGGTTTGGGAAGGATTTGAGTGGCTGTTTATATTAAACTAAACGTAATTACAAAATTAACCTCAATTTTTTTATTATATCCTTCTCCATTACAAGCTTAAAGGGTAAATTTGTAAATTTAAAATTAATTTAAATCTTTCCCTTCCTTCCCTTCCTTTTACTTTAATTATCCAAACATAAAATAATACAATTCTTCCCTTCCCTTCCCCTTCCTCATTTTTATTTATCCAAATAAAATTAACACAAATCATTTCTTTCTATTTTCTTTCCCTCCCTTTCTTTTCCTCCCCCTCCATTTCCTTTTATTTTCCTCCATTCCCCTCCCTTTCCTTCCCTTTACTATATTCTATCCAGCGTAAGGGTTAGTCTAATCGAAACGCAACGGAATTTCTCCTAAAAGTTGGAGAGGTCCGGCAAACAAATTCTTTACTAAATATACATAAGGAGTTGATCTTTTGTTTTTTTACAACTTTACCCTAACTTAGTTCTTTTTCATAATTTTTCCATGAGCTTTTTAAATCCTTATAAACCATGTTTTGTAGAAGGTTAAATGACTTTACATGATTGTAATACAATTGTAATATAATGTCTTAATTATCAAATTAACTTAAGCAAGTGAATTGCATATTTGAATGTTAAAAAAATTCATCCTAACAATATGATTAATGTATCATTGATTGATGTACATAA